TAAAAATAAGTTTCACCGATTGTTTATCCATGTTTGATTGTTCCCCTCGTTGATATTGAGCATTTGATTCAATTTGGGTTTTCATGTATCAGTCTTATCCCGATTTGAAGTAGTAATATGTTGTAGCATGCCAATCTTCCTGCGGCATCTTCCGAGGGGATATATTTTAATATTGAAAATGTCGTAATTGGAGCTGTCGTTTTGTCGTTTTGTTTCAGTCGACGTGCTGTACTCTCGTTCAGAAAAGACATTGGGCTTACAGAAAGAGCAATTGCGAATATGGATTCTGATCTCTTCTTTAATTTAACGATGTGTCCATCTAGGTCTTCGTCAGTTAATTTTACGGATGATTTTTATCTCGAACGTTTCGGAAATTGTCATTACTAAAAGAAGTATTTCTTTGCAATTATTCCCATCCGTTTTGGCGAATGCGACTGGGTCATTTTCTTCTGAATTTTGAGTTTGATCGTCTTCTTCAGGGGGTTGCTTTTTGTTGTTATTGTGTAAGTAATTTACGTTTGCCGATCAGCATATTTTCGCAAAATGTCGCCGTTTTGCGCACTTCGCACATATTTTCGTTTTTCCCGGACAAGTTTGTAAATAGTAGGGACCAAATGTTTTTCCGCATTTGCAGCATTGTTTTTGCTGTGTGTTATTTTTGCTCTCTTAGGTATCTTCATCTATTGATGTTTGTGTTTTGTATCTGTCCATCCCAGCCTCGAGGCTGGATGTAACCCATTGGTTTTTACTTTATAGTAGTCGATGTTGCTGATCCGAATGGATTTGATTTCTACTAGTTCGATACCATTTAATTTGAAGCTCTACTGTGTTCGATACCATTTTCTCTTTGGAATGCGTACTCATAGGCATCCTGTGGGGAACGGGTTTCCGCCAACAGTTTCTTCGCCAACTTGTCGTTATGCTTGTGCCGTGAGCATGTCTCTGACCCACTCAACGTTGCGGTCCTCGCAATCTGTCAATCTGTTCTTGATGCGAGCTCTACTAAGTCGGCATGAAACTGCTGTAGCGATTCGGTTTTTCTTTGTTTTTCTTTACGACGTTCGAATGCGATAACCCTTTATCTGACCAATATTTATCCTCAAATGGGACTTTTGGTTGTTGTAGTTTGTAAGTCCAATCCTGGCCGTTTTGTTGTACTTGTCTCTGGCCTTCTGTGCCTAAGCATAGAAACAAAAAAATTCTCACCTTTGTGTCCGTTTCGACCCATGCCGCTAAATTACACAATACGCCCCTTTTCGCGAGCTTTTTGGCATCTGTTCTCCCATCCGATACGCTGTTCTTGGTTTCGCGCTTCTCTGTTTTTCCTTTGTGCGTCGGTTTCTCCAGTTATTTCAACTTCCAAAATTGGTTTCGGTGGGTCTACTAATTCAAGCTTGTCTCGTAATCGATTTCGGACTTCTATCCCGTCTTTCGCGAACACAGCCATTTCGATAATTGCTGCACACTTAGACCGTTCAAAAGGCGGTTCCGCTGAGGCCATTTCCCAAAAATGGGTTGATGCTACATGTTTTTTTACGAATCCTGCTGACTGCGCCATGTAATACCGTAAAGTATGATCTATCTTAATATTGAATCCGAACGGATTGGTAAATAACAAATGAGATTAATTGAGAGCTCAAAGAAGACAACTAGTTCGGAAAGTCTTTATTCAAATTCTGTATAACACTCATGTTACGATTTTATGGTCGTACAAAGTCAAGTGACTTGTTCAACGTAGTGAGCTACAAATATATATTTATTTATCTTTGCCAGTCTGGCCGGATGACATTGCTAGCCAACCTTATAAGAAACTTAAGCGCAAACCTCGATTAAGAAGTATTCAACTAGCTTTTTTGGATGTGCCTTTGTACCTGGTCGAGGTCTGCGATTTAAGTCGCAAATGAGGATTCTGCAGTCGCGCTCAGGTTTTTTTCAAAACCGCGCAAAGTCCCGTCTTGAGTCGCGACGGCCAAGTCATATTCCGGAAAGTCATTAGCCAAAATGTTGCAGTCGCGCCAAGGTTTTTAAATTGGGAAAACTCCCGTCTCGATTCGCAACAGCCAAGTCATAGTCCAGAAAGTCTGGACTGCGTTCAGTACGATCGCCACATAGAAGGTATCAACAAATAGAGTACATCTCTCTCCCCTTTGGAAAAAGGCTCAAATTTGAATGGTGGGAGCTTGGAGGGGGCTTATAAAAAATGAAAATAAATTCAATTGTAGGATTTTCGCTAGCATAACGTGAGTAAGATTCAAATAGCAAACTCACCCAAATGTTCATTATAAATATGGAATTATTCTTGCGTGACATAGTGACCTCTTTTGACCAACAGTTTCTAAATTTTATTTTAAAATCGCTTCGATTGTCATTCATTTTGAAGGAAGCGTTCAAAAAACCAAAGAAAAAGATAAGTGCAGAAAGTGGGAAAATGTTTCAAATAGAACGGCTTTAAAACTATTTATTAGTTTCTTGTCAACTTTTTGTCCCGATTGTTTGAAAAATAGGGAAAAAATTCAAATTAGTCTTTTTTGCTTTTCTAGCAAAATAAGCCACCACAATTAATCAAAGGAGACATTTGAGTGATATAATCTAATTAAAGCCCTTACAGTCGTAATTCGAACGACATTAAAACTTTCCAAGTGTAGAGAAAAAGCGGTTTAAAATTTTCGGTTTTTGTCAAGCGAATAAAGCGATCGAGCAGGCTGACAATAGCTCATTTTATTGGCTTAAAAGCTTTCAATAGCTTAGATTAAAACGTAAAAACGTTGATTTATTCTAGTATTATTAGCTTTTTGGAGTATTTCAGCGCCTTTTTGGAATCGAAAACTTCAAAAACTGCAAAAAAAATGAAAAAGTCATTTTTCTACAAAAATACTTTTCAATTTGCTGATTTTACTCTGATTGTCAAATATATATAATCTCTAGTTTATTGTTCAGCTCCATTTTATGCCAAAAAACGACAATAATGAAAAAAAAATTTTAAGTTTATGGTCGGAACATTCTGTGCTACTTACTCAGAAACCAGCTATCCTTGTTAATTCTTTTGAGTTGGTTTGGCTGAATTTTTGGCCTTTAAAAATTAACTACCTTTTAACGTTTTTGAAGTAATTTAAGGCGTGAAAAAATGATTTTTTTTCCTGTTAAGTACTAAATATTTGATCCAAATATTTTGCCCCCTTTCAGATTGGAATGATTTCACAGCCGGAATAAATGGCTGATACTTGGCAATAGAATTTATATCGCAAGTTACTTATCGAAAATAGGCCAAATTAGCATTTTCAAACTCCCTGTTGAATCACAAAAATGATCACAATTGTCAATTTTTCCATAATAAAAAACTCTCTTAACCGAATTTTGTTACTTGAGGTAGAATTTGTTTGCTTGCAAGTTTCTATGACGCAACTGAGAAGAGTATAATTTGCTGTTCTGATTCACAAAATGTTTTTGCTTGGGCTGGTTCTGTTTTCTCCAGAAAACATCCGATGGATGGCTATTTTTGATGTAACTTATTTACTAAAGATATTGATGCCTTCAACATCCGAAAGATATTGATGGCTTGCGCTCAAAATAAGTATCTTAAAATAAAACATGCGCTCAAAATCAATTTTTTAATTCTTTTTTTTTCATAAAACAAAACGCGGGTTTTAAATTTGGAGGTTTGAGCTCACTGTTTTTTAGTATTTTTAGATAACTAAAACTCTTGAAATTTCTTATTTTTCATTAGCGCGACAAATTAATCAGGCTCAATAAAAAAGCAAAATGAGTTAAAGCATGCTAATTGGTCCAAATATTGTTTTCATAGATGCAAATTAAATCAGGTTGTACTCTACACAGGGGCGAATCTAGGTTTTCGAAAATTTTGTCGACCTCTTAATTTTTATAGGTCGACCAAATTGATTTTCCGAACTCTCCCAAATCACTAAAAAGACCCCTGTTTCGGCAAAATTTTGAAGAACAAGCCAAAAAAGCGTTCTTAGGCAGTTTTTTGGAAAATTTTGACCAAAAATTATTATTTAGAAATTAGTATTTAAAAAACAGGCTCCCCCCTCAAAATTAGTATTTAAAAAGTTTTTAGGGTCCGTCATCAAGTAAAGATATATCAAAATAGTACAATGGGGGTACCCTTTGGTCGCTAGGGAGTCGAATCCCTGAGGGGGGTGTCGGCCCCCCTTCTAAATCCGCCCCTGACTCTACAATAAAATTTGGGACAAAAAAATTTTTGAAAAACAAACTTCGAGTTTTGTATGATTGTTTTTTTTCTAAACTTTTTTCCCAAGCTATAGCATGCTTCAACCTAAATTGATTTCAAGCATTCGCAAAGAACCTCCAGAAAATTTGGAGTCTTGTCCTAATAAGAACAAAAACAGTCTTATTTGATTGGATTGATGCTCGTAGAAATAACTGACCGTTCTCTGCCTTTCTTGCCAGCGAAATGGTTTTTACAGCTTACACATCATTAGCTTAAAGAGTCGTCTAAACGTTTTTTTGTTTGTTTGGAAATAATATTTGGCATTTTAATGCTATTTTTTCGTCAACACTCGACACTCTTGTACTGAACCCAATGCGAAGACAAATTGTACCCAAGAAGTCGCAGTCTGTAAAGATTGATCAATGATTGGCAGCAAAACTCCTAAACGCTTCCGCAAATCTTGTCTGGCAAATATCGTGATCACTAGTTTGAATTTTAAAAATCCGAAAATTAAACTGCTACTTTTTCAAAAGCAGCACATGAAAATCTGTTGCGATCGAACCAGTCGTTTGATTAGGATATGTTTTAAGACCAGGCGTGAATCTACAAGTCTCGGGACAGTTAATACTTTATGTTGATCAAGGCGCCTTTAGAAAAACTTTAAGAATGACTCTCCGAAAAAGTTTCCGTAAAGTATTAATTGTGCTAATCTTTGATTGGTAAGGGCCACGCTATGCTCGCCCAATTTGATTCTGGTGTAAAAATAAGTATGTTTGAATAAGGCAAATAATTTTTTCAAAACAATTAGCCTAATTGTTGTGATAAACTTATTAAATAGTTTCAGAGAGTGATGAAACACTAGTTGCCATTCTTTGGGCACTGACTACTAACTTCAGCATATTATCCTTGACACCAACAGCACCATTATTCCTGGCTTTTTCCTGGCTTCACACAATGTCAACACCAATGCTTCTGATGCTGCCCGACGACTTCAAGAAACTCAATCCCGAACAAAAAGATAAGTACTACGTTCAAAAATATAACCTTGTCAATGTACTAGCAACATCCAGTAATCCTCCAAACAGTAATCAAAACGCAAAAGGACTCAGAGCACCTATTGATTTTGCTGCCAAAGTAATCCCCAATGATACTCAAAACTTGATTATTGGTTCGAGTTTTTTAGCGGAGTTTGACACGAAGGAGCTGCCCAAAGACGTGGCCGTTCATTCTTACCGCGAGTCATTTTGCAGCGAGAAACAATCAGTTGTGAAAAAGTACGACGATACTGAGCTGAAATCAGTAACCTTCCAGGACGGCACCAATTCCCTCACAAGGGAACTACACAAGCCTGTAGATGATATATTTGAAACTTTTTGCGCCACCATTAGTGAAATTGAGACAAAGTTTTCACCTGCAATAATCAATATATGCCAAGTCCCGCCTGTGAAATCGGGACCCGATTCTGTAAGTGGTAAGTGTATAACTGAATTCAACAGCCTTATTGCTCGTAAATTTAAGAAAAAAGTATCAAATTGTTCCTATATACGATAAAATTGTCAGCATAAATGACTATCAGTCAATCTTCTTTGATGAAGTACACTTGATGCGTTCTGTTAGTACTTTAAAAAATGCAATCATGGAAAAGGTGCTACCATTATCCAGCTTATCACCTCGAGTTGTTTCTCCGAATACTTCCAACTCTAGGGGCCCAGCGCACCCTCAGAGGAATCGTATGGAACCTGGTTCAAGCCAAGTCTCGTGGGGCCCCGAGCACCCAAAGAGTCTTGCGAGCCATGGTTTCAGCAACAATCAAACCTACAATTATATGAATACCAATCGTAGTAATTATGACTTACGCCATAATAGATACTAATGTTGTTTTAGTAGTCTATTACCCAATGATCTGGATCTATCAAATTTATGTTTAGCCAATGGTTTTTAAAGACTCTACTTATTTTCTCCCTTTTAACTAGCATTCCCATTAATTACAATGTACCCAACAGCACCGCACTACTCAAAACTAGAAACATGACGTCTAACCGCCACTTTAGATTCACAGCTGGCATCTATTGCGCAGTTGTGATACTAACCTTTCAGATTGGAATGTTGGAAATCCTGCTCCTTCAAGGTGGGGACATCGAAGTCAATCCAGGTCCCGCACTTTTATATGAAATCTTGGCAAACAAAGCAAAGGAACACCACAACTTCCTCAAATATATAACTCTAAATTGTAGAAGCATAAAGAACAAACACATGGAAATACGTTTCTTGTCAGAAATAGTTGACTCAAACACAATTATCGGTCTTACGGAAACCTGGCTTGACGAAACATGCAATCATAAAACTTATTCATTCTGCAAAACAACCCATGAAATTTTTAGATGCGACCGTAACAAAAAATGCACTGGTCAACACGCAGGTGGTGGTACTCTTCTTCTTATTCCGAAAAAATTTAACCCTAAGATTCGAGAAGATTTAAATTATCTACGTCCCTCCCATTTTGAAGGACTTTGGGTGGAATATAGCCCAATCATCTCAAAAAAATCAAAAAGACAGATAATTGCTATTGCCTACAATCCACACAACCAATTCAAGGAAATTTTTATAGAAGATACACTAAAGGGTATCAATTACGCTGCCTCTGAAGCGCGAGATGTTACGATTTTGGGTGATTTCAATATTAACTACTTGAATAAACATGAAGCTAAATTTCTCAGCGATTCTATTAAACCATAAAATTTGTCAATAACCAATAAGTCGATGCCGACATACAACTCTAAAAACAGCCAATCCATTTTAGATAACATTGTAGCAATCAAATCTCTTTGTAAAGAAACTATTGTAGCAGAACCACCTATAAACACGGACCATTTAATAACAATGTGTATTAGCAAACTAAAACGATTCGAAAAAACCATTTCAATTCGAACTTTTTGCTTCAACAAAACCAATTACTGTAAAAATAGGTTCTAAGGGAACTTAAACAGAGTCCATGGTTTCTCGTCTACCAAGAAAACGATGTCTCTAAAATGTTATTAAATTTGAAGATATTTTCTCGCATGCACTAAACGCTCACGCACCACTAGAGCAGAAGTATACCCAAAATAAACCGCAGCTACAGCTGTCTGGTAAAGTACTTAACTCAGTCAATAGACCTTTAAAACAGGAAAAAGAAAATCTTCTAAAGGCATATCAATTATCAAGAACAGATGCCATTTTTGAAAACTATAAACGAATAAGAAATAAATACAACAATCATCTAAAACATTTATACAAGAAAGAGAAAACAGCCCAATTCAAAATGCTTGACTGTCCAAAAAAACAATGAAATTTCATAAACTCTATCAGGAACGCAAATAGGTGATCTACGGAATTCGTTTGGCGTCACTATATTTGAAAATAAGAAGACTGCAAATTTCCTTAACTACAGGTTCTCAACATTAGGAGAATACAAAAACGCGGTTCCTCCCATAGATGTACCAACTGAGTACAGTGTACACAGCAAAACAAATAGGCATTTTCAATTCAGGTTCATAACTCACAAAGAAATGAAAAATGCAATTTTATTACTTCATTTAAACAAGCCATTAGGACCAAGCAAAATCCCTGCTTGGGCTCTAAAAGACAGCATTAATACTGTAAACCCAATTCTTACGATGATTATCAATGAATGCATCTCGAAATCCGTATTCCCATATACCTTAAAAAAGGCACACGTTTTTCCCATATTCAAAAAAAGGTGACTCGACAGATCCAGTAAATTACCGTCCAATTTCTATAACACCCACTCTATCGAAGTTGTTTGAAAAAATTTTTTCATCCCAAATTCACGAATTTTTAGCAAATTCCAATATTCTAAATCCAAAACAATTTGGCTTTCGTCCAGGTTATTCAACTAATGATGCTCTTTTATACACAACAGAAAAAATCAGATTCCATCTCGATAAAAATAACATAGCTACGGCTGCATTTCTTGATTTATCTAAAGCATTTGATTCACTCTCTCATTCAGTCCTTGAAAGGAAACTAAGTCACATTGGCTTTGAACAGTCAGCAACAACTCTTATTAAGTCATTTCTAGAAAACAGACAGCAATTGACAATAGTAAACGGCGAACACTCAGATTGGCTTAAATTAGAGCAAGATTTTCCCCAAGGTACTGTACTAGGACCACTGCTGTTCAACTTGTATGTAAATGACTTGCCACAAACAATAGACAAATCATGTACGTTAGTACAATATGCCGACGACACGACTCTGCTTAGTTTTCATTCAGATCCCGAAACAGCACTAAAGAGCATTGAAAAAAATTTCAACAAAATTCTCTTGTATTTTCACTTAAATCGATTAATGATTAATGTAGACAAAACCCATTTCATTGTATTTTCTGCACCGTCGAAAAAGAAACTAACTGGAAATTTTTCATTGGAAGCTGGAAACAATCAAGTTAATTTAACAGAGACAGTTAAATTTCTCGGCGTCAATATTGACATAAGCTGAACTTTCGACAAAGAAATCAATAAAATATTACAAAAAATGGCTACAGCAATCCAAACGATAAAATGCATCCGAGACAAAATCCCTCTGCGTACTAGAATTCTCCTGTTAAATACTCTTGTACTGAGCCATTTGCACTATCCATGCATGCGCTAAACGGATGTACGCAAGATAAAATTGAGAAACTCGAAAAACAAATAAAATGGGGAATCAGGATCATAATGATTATAAGCAAACGAGATTCCGTTACACTTCTAAGGAAACAGCACAAAATTCCTACTGCTCGGAATATAATCGAGTACCGATCAGCACACTACCTTCACAGGTTATGCCGAAACGATGCCCCAGCTTTCACGTATATAAGATTCCCAAATTCTGAATTCCGCTATAACCATCGAACTGGAACATTACTGTTCCCTTTAACATGTAAAACTGATTTCCTTCGTAAGTCTTTCTTATTTAAATCAATCAGAAACCTTAACACAATAATCCGAACCTACCGCACACATTGACAAAAACTCTGATGAAAAATTTCATCATAAGAAAAGATGACACCCTGTTACCCAATAAGGAGAGTCTTTCCGCATCCAAGGACATTTATTTTGTTAAATCAATTATTTGATTCGTCCTCGTAGTAATTTATGTTTTTTCTTGTTATGTTATATAACCATTGCGTAATATTGTACACTAGATTCTTATACAATCAGTTCTGCAACTGCATAAGTATATTGAAACAATAAAGTGTCCCCTCTCTCCCTCTCTCAAAAGTTTTTTAACAACTTTTTTTAGATAGAAAGCCAGTTGCGTGCAAGTCATTTTTGCAATTTTTTTTCGTCAAAACTTCCCGTTGTTTTTTTTTGTATACAGGTATTTTGAATCAGGTCAAGTTTTGCCAAATTGAGTAGCTAAAATAGCTTACAAAAGTTGTATTGTTTGTAAATTTGTATATACGAGCACTCTCGATGTTCCGACTATTTTCGAAGAAAATGACGGAAAATTTGTTCTCGGAGTTTTTTTTTCTCCAGACAGCTTTCGACTATTTAATTTGCAGTTTTGACAAAGTTTTTTTTATATCATTCAGAAGGCATCGCTATCCTCAGCTCAAATTTAAAAAGATGTTTTCACTGTGATCATTTTTTGTAAAGTTTTGGTTATGGGGGTTTAAATACTGCCAATGTGGGACGATTGAAACGCAATTAATTTCATGCTATAAACGCGTGAGCAGAGATTTAACCCTTTTAGAAGTCTTTCCACACTGGATTAAAACATGCTCTTTAGTCTACTTAGCTTATCTCACTTTTTACATAGCGTGTCGGGGGATGGTTTTAAGAAAAAGTAA